CGTGTGGCACCGCTATCAGTTCAGTACGCATATCCATAAGTGTGTGCGCGTGTGTATGTATATATATATATGTGTGTATGTTGTCTTTTGTAAATTTAAAATATGTTATGTATGTGTGTATTTATGCACTCCTGCCCACGCATGCACACTGCCACTGCCTGTTGAACAGATGTCACCACCACTTGTGGATTCACTTCCAGCAGATTGGCCTGCCCACTGATGCAAAATACTCACAAGCGGCACACCTCTGCACCATGTCTTTCCCTCAAACATGAAATTCCACTGTCACTGCCTCAAGCGTGACATTCTTTGTTTCTTCCACGAAGCTTCTGTCAGCTCTGGTAAAAAGCTTTCTCCTGCTCCTTATAAAGCACAGAATTCTGCTGAGAGCGTGAAGTTTCCAGTCATGTTTGCAGGAAACTTGCAAAAACACAAAAAAACAAACTCGGTTGCACTGCATTAGGGAGAAACCCTGAGAGGCACGAGTTTGCAGGGCTCTTGTGTCCTCCCAGATCGCTTTGTGTCATCGGCCTTGCCAGCCACCTCCTCCTGCACCCAGAGTGCATTCACCTGCCCTGAAAAGATCTACCTGTCCATAGACTCAAAAACGATTTCACAATCGGAGTCGGGCCTGGTCCGAGTCAATTTGACAATTGGTGTACTTGAGCTCCGCAGCAACTTTGGCAGCTCGACTGGACATCCTGGAGACCAAGGCCAGGGCCTTGCTCATCTCAGTCACTTCAAGTCGAAGTGCATCCTTGCTCTGTTCGTAGCGATGCCCTTTGCCCCTAGTAGCATCCTTGTTCCTAGTAGTAAGGCCAGGAGCCCCTATTAGCAGCCTTGCTTGCACAATCTCCTGAACGCTTCTCCTTTTTCGCAAGAACGCAAGAGCCGCTCACTGCTGCGAGGCAACACCTCGAAGGAGGAAACAAAGACATGCCCATCGCTGGCTTTTGGAAGAGCACAGCGAAGCTCTGTGGCCTACAGGTTCCTGTATGGTACACATCTGCACTGATTCATAAGGTGAAGTCTCCGATTCGAACGTCCCATTCGCAAATCTTCTAGATTTCCTCAGTCCCTTCCCACAAAGCCTCCTTGAGAAAGACCATGAAGGGGCTTGTAACAATGTCCACAGGCAATCCAAGGCCTCGATTTTGGGGCAAAAAATCTTTGATCAAAGCTTTTAGGCAGGTTTGGGAAGTCGTTTGTGCTCGAGGCTACCGAGGCCCAGGCTCAAGGGAGCATCCAAAGCATCGTGGATAAATCTCCAGAGTGTCACTACTGCCTGTCAACAAAACCTGTGGGGATGGATCAAAACCTCTGGGCCAACCCTTTCGGGGTGAACGTGGTGAACATCCATGTTCCATCCTGAAAAAAAGAAGCCATTTTGGTGTTGATTCTCGGCAAACTGGGCTTAAACTCTTCGACTTGGCAGACTGCTCCTCGCAAAAGATCGTGGTTGGTGGCTGCAAAGGAACAAAGATCGCATCCGGGTCTCAGCGGGCCAGAGCATGTTGCAATGCGGAAACTGCAGGTCTGATGAAAGAAACGAAGACTCAGACTGCCGTCCAAGGCATGAGAGGTGATGTCCCTGTCTAAGGTGTTCAGGCTGTGCGTCAGCGCCGCAGTCTCAGTGCAGACGGGAAAGACTCTAGTCCAAGACTCGGTGCAGACTGAAGACCGTCTCAGTGCGAACAAGCCACAACGTGAGGCACAAGGATGTCCACCAGAGGTTCAAAGATGGCCTTAGAGGTCTTTTTTTTGCTGAGTGTTCTGAAGGGCCACTTTGCGTAACGAGCGAGCGCTCGGTCATTACGGGAGATAAGTCGGCCGCTTTAGACTCACGATGCCTGCTGGCTTCCCGGTCCAAGGCCTGCTATGTTGGTTTGAAAGCTTGGCAGGTTCAAAAGCGGATCATATCTTGCTCCTCCAGCACTTGAATGAGTCGCCCTCCACCAGGTGGCACTTCCAGCACAGATGACTCCTCCACCATCCAAGTTTGTAAGTAGCATCTGAAGAATATGTTGTGCCAGGGTGCCATAGTTTTCAAATGTTTTTGATGGCACTGTAACGACTAGTAGACCCGTAACGACTATTCCAAGTAAGCACAACCCCTGAGAAGCTGCTACGGCCAGCGTCTCCGTTGGCCACACCCCCAGCTTGAGCCGCTCCACACGAGGTCTCACCTAAGCGCTCTCGGTATAATCCTGCCAGTGCTACAACCCCTGGCAATGATGGAAATTCTATCACTCTCATTCACAACCTAAGAATGTCCAAGGCAGCCGCTGCTGCCACCATAGCACTTGATGCCACCGACAAATGCCGAGAGCCAAGTCCTTGTGCAGCCCAAGCCTTCCAGGCTCAGCTCGGGCTTCACGTGTTTGCCATCCAGCAGTGAGCGAAGCTGTACAGCAAAGAATCGGAATGTGGTGTGGGAAAATGCTGGAACTATCAATCAGCCGAAGAATCGTTTGTGTGATGCCAAGTATGTTTGTACTGATGATTCCACTGCCAATGGCCAAGGATTGTTCCAGAAAACCATGCACCTCCATGGCAATTCCACTCCAGCCTCATTGTAGAAGGACTTCTCGCATTCCAACTCATCCAGCAAGGATTGCACCTTGCACAATGGACCGAGTGGTTCGCCTACAGAAAACCGGGAAAGCCACTCAGCGACGGACTGCACCAGTGAGTCCTTATCGACTTGAGACATGACTGAGCTTACTCCTTCTGAAAGACGTAGAAACTGTCAGCATTTAACAAGAGACTTCTGGCTTTTGGCGGTGGATCACTTTTGGCACCCCGGCCTTGGAGGTAGTTCTTGATTTTGGGGCCAAGTCCTCGGTGGAAAAAGAATGGGAGACCCAGGTTGGAGACCGGAGACCCAGGGGACCAGCGTTTCCAGGCCTCTTCGCCGGGTGGAACCTGCAACGGCACTTGGGGGTAATTGTGTGACCAAAAATCATCTAGGAGGGCCTGAGGTGGTTCGTCAAAGGGATGCAAAGCCAGCCTCGGGGTCATCTTCATCTCAATCATTGTCAGGCCAGTCCGAGGGAAAAGGCAACTTAACTGACTTCGGCATCAGCTTGCTCAGGTCATGTCTCAGCTGCCTTGCTGCTGGACTCCCATACCTTCAAACACTTGGCGCCAACAGTGCCGACATTGCATATGCTGAGCTGCTGACGAACCATTGCCCAAACTGTCCTTGAGCATTCAAGCACCAATCAGCTTATGCCGCATGAAAGGGTAAACTGGGACTCTGAGCGCAAAACCCAAGAGCTCTTCAGATTCCTCATCTCTCATGAACGTGGCCTTCCGGGCAGAGCGGTCTGGGCCGCGTGGGCCTTCCTAGTGTCCAAACAGCTCAAATCGTCATCGAAGCACGCAGCAGCACCTTCTCGGAAAGAGCTGGATCCTCTCAAAGACGCCAACAATGCCGATCGAATGTGAAAATTCTACAATACTCATGACACATCTGACTTTGGTTCTCCTGCTCAAGCTCTGTGTCCTGTCTGGGAAGCTTTTCAATCCGTCAAGCCACGAAATTGAGTCTCCTTTTATGGGGGAGTATTGGAGGGTCCCCTTTCAAATACGACCATGTCAAGATATCTCAAGCCACCTCACTTGTGCGTCGATCTCTGCCGGCCTCAGTTGTATATCGTGCTCTGACATGCTGTCATCCGTGTCCGTGCTGCAAAAAATGCAAAAAGGGGATCCCCATGGTTCTCAAGTCTTGTCCAACCGGAATTTGACAAAGGTTCAGACCAGTTCTGAGCACCGCATCTCTCTGTAGCATCGGGCCTTTGCAGCGACCCAGAACGAAGGAACGAACGCCGCCCGTCCAAACAGGGCGCAACCCAGAGCCGCAAGACTGGCGCGAAGGCCACAGGCCTCACAGTTGTGTCTAGTTCGCAAGCCAAAGAATAAGCTTGAACAAACATGAAAAAAATGGTAGTAATGGCCTCCAACCTACTAGCTTCTTTCGGTCCATAGAAATCCATGCGAAATCAGTGCCCTGCTCGTAATGCCGGCGATAGTCCTGGCCAACAGAACAGCAGGGGTTCCAGTCCCACGGGTTCGTTTGGAGTGTCTCGCACCCTCAGCGTCTGGATCAGCTGGTCCCTCAAGTCCACCGTCAACAAACGTTTGGCCTGGGCGTGGAGCAGCTCTCATTTGGGCGGAACAAAACGGTGGAGCTTTCGGTTCTTTCACGATCTTTCACGACAGTGGTCGGGATGTCTTTTGGTTCTGCCTCACTGCCCTGCACCGACACAACTTTAGAACAGGTCGCTCAAGCCCAACGCAGCTTTTCTACGACTGCAGCAAGGTATTAAATGCCTAGCTTTCGTCCCCCCTGGGACTCTTCAGGGCTTTGCAGCCGCAAATGCTGCGGTGATCAATCACATGCCTGGGCATCGCGCATTCAATAACCTAGGCAAGTGCAAACTGGACATGAAAAAAAATTTTGCATGTAATTTTAACACACGATGTGTCTCAGCTCTGCAGTGCGTCTGCTTGCAGATCTCGCGCCACGTATCGCAAGGCCATGACATCATTGTCTACTGCGATGAGTGCAATTTGCCTATCTGCCTGACATCTTGAGCTCGCGTAGCGCAAAGCAAGACCCTCGTGGCTCACTGCCGCCTTAACAAGTTCTTCGTCATCTCGAAGTTCGTCGACGGCAAATTGCAGTGCGAGACCATTGCGTTGGACTGCTGCCAGCATAACGTCTCGGTCGGCGTGAAGCTCCGAAGAAGCAAACTGAAATGCATTGGGGTCTTCGTCCACCGCCAAAAGCACAATCTCCCGATCCGCTCGAAGCTTCTCAGATGCAAATTCCAGAGCTCTCCCATTCTGCATCACGGCAGCCATGACCACTTCACGATCTGCCCGGATGTAGGATGGAGCTTCAGCAAGGAAGCTCCCATCATCGTCACTTACCACTGCCTCGAGCCATTTCGCTTGCTCTGGCTCGCGCCGTAGGAAGCTCAGCTCCACCGAACTGTCACAGTTTGTCCCTTGGAGATTGCCGAGTCGCTGCAAATCCCGGAGCTCTTTGTCTCCCAAAAAAAGCCGCAGCTCAGTAGCAGGGATTCCAGTCTCTGCCTCAAATAGCCTTTTCACTTCACGAATGCTGGAGTTCGAATTACAGACCACCTGGCAGGAATACGACAAACCACTTCCTTGTACCAAAATGCCAGTTGGCTCCTCAGTAGCCGCATCCATTGGAGACAGAATGAAAGCAACCCAGTGAGGCCTGTTAAGCCCAGACTCAGCAGAAGAGACAAATAGAGCCTTGCAAACGTGCAGCCTCCCTGTGTTTGATCTCGTTTGTAGATGGGGTTGCGTGAGTGGGTGATACCGTGATACCGTGATTTTGATACCTCACCTTTTGCCAGAATCAGTAGCTGGCTGATGGCTAAGTCTAGAACCACCAATTCCAGCGGCAGATTGCGGGTGGAGGAGACGCCTAGAGTCATACGAATGAGAAAACCAAGTAACACCTCAGGTGACTGGCTCATGACCTTGCCGGGCAAAGCATGAAGCTGCATCCACTGGCGTCTTCCTAAGAGAAATCTGAATCCAGATTTAAGTCATAGACTCAGATAATCTAAGAATCATTCAGATCCGCAACTCTGAGCCCCGCACTGCAGCCACCGTGAGAAGTCACTGACAATGCTTTCTGACATCACCAGCGCTTGTGCCGAGAGCTGAGCACCTCGGCCCAACCCTAGCACCACGAGCCAGACGGGCCCAGCAAAGACGACCGAAGGAGAAAGCGGGTCTCCGACCGGAAGAGAAAGCGGCCGCCCAAACCTGTTGCCTCGGTCACGGTGGAACCTTCGTCCACAAAATACAGCACAATAGGCACAATCTGAGTCTGTTTTTTGAATCCCGGTGGATTTGTTAGGGTCACGAAATGAGTGACTCACGCAAGGAGCAAAGCGTGGGTTCCCAGCCTCATTTTACGCGCCCAGGTGACGTTTGATCGAGAGCTGAATTGAACGGGGCTTCTACTGCAAAGGAGCCAAATGTGGGTGAAGCCCAGAAAGCCTGGTGTAGAAGAAAACTGAAGAGTACAAGTGCACGGTGAGGAACCGTTCAGGCTTGGACAATGCAGCAGCTGCATTGGGAGCATCAAGGCTGAGGCAATCCTCCGCCTTTGGCATCACAAGAACAAGCGAATTTGCTCTGACAGGAGAGAAAAGAGGAAGGGCCTCGTTGTCAGTTGCAGCACGCCAGAGTGTGCTGAAGACTCGAGCTGCAAAAACCACGTTGAAGGACCAGCCTGGGCACTAGTCACTCCGTTGACACTAAACATGGTGATGTCAACCCGGCTCCCGAGCTGCCGATGCTAGGCCCGCAGCTTTCGCCCGGCGCCAACACCTAGGCGATCCAGTCTCAAACCGTCATAGACCGACTCGAACCGTCAACCTCGACCGTCGAACGGGGTCGAGCCACATCCAATTCGCTGCACAGGTTTGTCAGCAGACGTCTGCCGCTAACTTCACTCAGCCTCACAGAGCGGCTCGATTCTTTTTTAAAGCCCGCTCCCCCCTCCCTACTTAAGTATATTAAGTAGGCGCTATTCAATTAGGTAAGGGAGAAGCTACTAGCTTAAGTAGCTACTGCTTAGGACGCAGGATAGCTCAAGCTTCCTTGAAGAAGCGCTCTCGCACTATTCATTTGGTGATTAGATTTTTAGGTAAACTTAAGTATTCGAAAGCACCTTGGTTGTGCTACAATACAAGTACCTTCCCGCCTACAGAATGTTCGGAAGCGAGCCTATCAACTGGTTGTGGGCGGCCCCAGTCACCACTGAGCGCAATCTGCAAGCATCAGTCGGTCTGCAATGCTAGAGACTTACAACCCAGCTACAATCCCTCCGCTTCATTTTCCAAGGTGTTGAATGTACATTGGGACCCAAAGACTAAACTTTCACAAAAAGGCCCTCATCTCATTTCTTGAATGATGAACCTTACAAGCCTTACAAGTGGAGCTTATGCAAATGGCCTGATTCAGCTCTCTGATTGCTTGGAAGCAGCGCCTGCCTACCAGAGATTGCACTCAGAGCAGAGGCAAACAACAGCATCAGATATTGGGCCAGACACGAAGCAACATCATCACATCCTTCTTGGTGAAGTTGCATGGCCCGTTCAATCACACCTCGCGTCCCAGCCACATCGGCACAGAGCCGACAGTAACAATCCCTCAGGACAGGACTCCCCCTCAGGATTCTCAGCTGCATGTAAATCCACTGCGCTGTCCAGTCTTTGGAAGGATCTGGCGAAACGAAGACAATGTGGTGTTTCAGGATGTTTCCATGAGATGATGGTGCTCAAAACCGCACCTGCTACAGTGGCATACTCAAATGTCTCCCACTGTGACCACAGCCTGCAACAAAAGGAAACTCAGAAACCAAGCTTCTTTTGTGTCTTTGCGCACCGCAGGAGCAAAGCCGCCCTGTACCGAACATCGAGCGGAGAGAACGCCTGGCAGCACCACAAGCTGGTGAAGATAGCAAATTGGTGTCAGGAATGCCGCCTCACTGTCTGGTCGAGAAAGCTCCACGATATGGTGATGAAGCTGAGTATTGATGCCCAAACCTTGAGACAAAATGTGACATCGTAGTGGAGACAGGAATCTCCGACGGGTTTCTGAGGCCCTGGCGAACACGACAAATTGGGATAAGAGCTGCAACTTGATCAAGAGCTGGGCCTTCTCGAAGAAGATGTCGGCCTGGGGCCACGACGTCACGAATGTCGGCTTCGACCTCAAACCAGGTCCTAGCAAACTGGTCGGACACAAAATGGCAAAGAGATCCTGAGAACTTCAGGGGCTTAAGGGCAGAACATAGAAGCAGCAGCTCATACGAGAAGTATCCCCAGTCCTTGCGGTCGTGCACCTGCCTACCATACAAAATGACAGCATCCGATCACGTTGACTCCTCTTCAGTCAAGAGATCTGAGAGTGAATGGCTGCTGTAACGAAGGAGTTGGTGCGCTTCCTCCGCCTTACAGCAGATCATATGCATTTCATATGGCTAGCGGCGGACCGTGGACCGTGGACAACCATCAAAATGAGATCACCGGCTGAGGCCAGTGCTAGATGATCTCTCCAATCCCAGTTCCAGTAGTCTCCGTTGCCTAATCGGCCTGCCAAACAGGTTCAGTGGAAGATCCGATACTAGCTGGGTTCGGTAGCATCCCTGGCCTTTCGCGAGAGCTGCATCACTTTTGGCCAGAGCAGCCTGCTTGAAAAATCTGCGCTTGAACTGCGGCTTGTTACATAACCTTGCCAAGTTCTTGGGTGTTCCGGTGTTCCGAATGGTTTGGCCTCCAAACTTGGTGCATCAATGACCTGCTTCAGTTCATCATCAAGCTCGTTGCTTTTCTGGCTAGGAGACCTGGGCACTTTCTCAAACTTGAGACGCATCCAGTCAGATGCAGAAGTCACATGCGTCTTCGGGGCCGCACTGCACATTGCAAAGACATCCTGCCAGCCCACTTTGAAGCTGTCGAGGAGACGTCTGCCACACCTCACAGGGACTCAAACCAACAGAGACTCAAACCAGGACTGCTCAATGGGCAACATCAGGCTAGCCTGCACACTGGATGCAGCACCTGAACAATCAGCTGTGGCGCGTTGCCACCACTTTCCTGCTACAAATGAACAAATGCCCCAGCCTGGGGTCATGGATGTGACCCGAGGTGTACTTGGCTGGCTGTTGGGCTCCGACTTCGACAGCGCTTCCACATCTGAGTGAAGAAAAAAGCAAACGTGCATTGTTTTATGTACTTGTGTGCATGTATATATATATATATACAAATATGTGGTTAAAGAAACATGCATTTGTTATATAATGTATTGTACGGTTACATGTAAACAAAAAATGCTCTTGGAGTCATTCAAAATGGTCAAATTCCGCAAAAGCTGCTTGGCTATTGACATGCTGGTTTGTTTGGCAAGGCAGGTCTGTAGGCACAAGCCTGGCAAACTGGGGCGGAGGCTCTGTCAACTGAGAAGTTTGAATTTTTTGGTGGCTCGGCTTGGTGTCTCAGATCTACTTGGATGACCAATTTTATAAGAATATGTTTGACTTCAGCGATGAAAGGTGACTATGCCTCTGTCAAACTAGCGGGACTCTCAGTCACATCAGACCGAAGCTCCTCACAGCATAACTCGGGGGTGTCTTGCTGCTAAAGTTGCAGCATGATCACTGTCTTCTTGATGTGACGTAGCAAAAATCATAATGTCTTGCAAAAAGTCATTTGTTGTTGACGATCCTTCACTTCCTTTTGCAGAGGGCTGGCAAAACCTGCCCAAAGCATCGAACTACAAACGCAGCACGGTTGATGTACATTGCAGCGTGGCACTTAACACATTTTCGGCTCCGCTGCAGGTCAGACTCGGTCAAAGCCGAGTATTTGATCTTGCCGGGCAGTCGAAGTCGTCGATCTCCAATCAGGCTTCATGGCATAAGTCATTGCCCTTCACCAGTCCATGGGGATCTGATATTATGCCAGAACTTGGTATGACTCCTCATGTTGTCAGACGTCCATCGAGATCATGCGCTTGCTCAAATTGTGTCAAGACCAATACCAAATCCACTCTCGCCCGAAACTTCGAGTCTTCCTTCATCCTGTAATTTCTTCATCTGTGGTCTAAACTGATGGAAAGCAGCGCTGCTTCGATGAAGCTCCATATAGACCTCCTTGTTGCTGTATCGTTCATCCACAATCACCAGCAGTGGGTCTTTGTCACTTTGAACAGCTTCAAAGAGCAGCGCAAAGGGCTCTGCGTCACGGACATAGCGCGCTAAAGGAGCCCAGAATCGCAAGAACTCGTCCCGGGTCGCCACATCCTTGAAACGAAGCTGGATGGTGAGACTCCATGCGGATGGAAAGCCTTTGGTTTTGGATGGCCTTTGGGAGACTCCAAATCCGAAGCTCAGGAGCAGCGAAGCTGCCGCACTTCCCATGCAGAAGTAGATCAACTCACGCTTCATTGCGACAGCCCGAGGTTGCTATGCGGAATTTGTAATAGTGTTAATTCTTCTTGTGCTGCCTTCCACCGGGATTATCTCAACACAAGGATAGGTTGAGAACATGATAGTGGCTAGCTAGAAAGTGTTTTCTCTGACACAAAGCATGGTCACTGCGCAATTGCGGCAAACAGCAAAAAGTGTGATCAGCAAAACAGGTTAAACAACTCAAATGAAGATACTTCCTTTGCGTCTTTAAAAAGGAATCATGCGACGCGCCACCTTCGATGCCCTTCTCGGACTCGACATCACCAAAGGGATTGTCAGTACCTTGTGTAGACTGCAAGAATTGTAAAAGCGTTGAGCCAGCATTATTCCCCTGCCTTCAGGTTCCTCTGAAGTGGTGGTCGTAAATGGGTTGGATTTCTCACAGTTCTCTCTTGTGTCGAAGGGGTTCGTGGGCTCAGAGCCAGAGCCACTTTTAAACGGATTCGTGTCTTCGAAGGGGTTCAGCGTGACTTCGGCCTCAGACCCGACACAGTTGATGTCCACGTCCTGCTCAACCACTGCAGCTTTTGAGTTCATGGCAACAGCATCAACAGCATCTGCCCCTTCTCTGAGGGGATCATCCAGAAATCCTGACAGCTCATCTGCACAAGTGAAAGCTGAACAAAGTTGGATGGTAAGGGGTCAGATTGCGATATGGCACAGGCAACCGTGCTTCCTTTTCGGACAGCCCCAAATGACGGCGACAAAGCTTCACCTGACAATGCGCAAGACTACGGTATACAGACGGCATGTGCTCAAACACTTAAGGCTTCTGTCATCCCTGAACCAGCGGTAGGACCTGTACTGCTTTCTGGAACATCCCGGCTCCTGGCCATGACGTAAAGCGCTAAAGATGCCAATGTTCATCGAAGGCTTCACTGAGAACAAGGATCTCATTGTAACAATCACTACGAGCGCCTGTTGACTGAAATTTCCGTCATCGATGGTCTGGCTGAGCCTCCTGCACAAGGTCGCTGGTCACTACGTCGCTTCCGTCACTGGGCTCCCGGCCTTCCACTCCGGTTGAGGCCTCAGCGGCCTCAGGCAAGTGATGCAACAGCCAAGTGAGCTTGACACCCTTCCATTCAACTCATTCCCTTCACCCGTTCGACACATTCTGGTCTTCCTGAGAGACTTGCTTTGGGAGAGTGCAACTCGGCCGACTCTGCCTGGCACGTGCTTTTCCCAACTGCCTTCTGGCACGTGCTTTTCCCAACCCCGCAAGGAGTTGAAAACAATGAGTGTCGCACCAATGCAGTGGCATAGCTCGTCTGCTGCGACCTTTGTTCAGCACAGAAAATATGCTCCTGAGACCCCTCAAAAACTCAAAAGTTTCATCCGAGGGCCGCACGCCCCGAGGGCTTCCGACCCCTGTAGCGCAGGGTTGTGTCTTGTGGATCTGGACTTGATCCACGGAGACTGAGGCAGCTGCTGAAGCGGATGACGAACCTTCTCAGCAAAGAGAATTCAAACAATGTTAAGCAGCAGTCATTGTGTAAGTGCGAGACAGGAGCTAGCATATGACCCATAGTGCCTGAACAGGGCCAGAATGAGGGACAGAATTCCAGAGGTCGTGACAAGACATCTTGCACCTGCGAGCACTAGTAGCTGCAGCTGTCATGTCTTCCAGCCACAAAGCTTTCTTTTCGAGTGCAGCAGTGAAGTGCCGGAGTCGGCTGGCCTCGAGAACTTGACACATGGTCACGACGGTCACGTGGCTTGTCTTGCTGGGGTGCTGGCTATCGCAGTGGTGCCCATGCTTTGGGCGGAAAGCTTCAGGCTGTCGTTGATGTCACTCAAGTGCTGCCTGGGCTCTCAAAAAAAGAGGGGCAGGCCGGGCAGGCCGGGCAGGCCTGGGGCCAGGGGCTAAGGCACCCACTTGGACCCACTTGGTAAGTCCAGTCAGTTCAGAGTTCCACTCAAGTTCAGTTGAGGCTAAGCTCGTGGCAGCTCAGCTAGGAGCTCCTCCTCCGACAGCTCCTCTATCGCGTTCTCGCCAGCGTCTCCTCTCCAAAGAACCACTCGCCCAACGATTCCACACCATCCAGCGGTTGTACTACATTCGCCTGAGCTGTTGCTTCTTTTCCTCAGATGCCGCCTCACCACAGTTTAGAAACAAATATGGCAAGGGCCTACTGAGGGGCCAAGTGGGCTTCCCGACAGCAGAAGTTCAGGCGACAACTGTTGCAGCAGAGCCTGGAGGCTCAGCTATCCAAAATAGAATGACTTGGAGACATGACACGGCCTTTATGTCCCTTGCAATCTGGTCCAAGAAATCCACAGATTGCACCTGTGGGCAGACCGACAATCAGACGGGCGGAAGGAAATATCAGAAACGGGCGGAAGATGGCGGAAGTATCGAAGCCCTCATGGTCTTCACAGATTTGTCCAAGCTTTCTGAGCGGCTTGAAGAGATGAAACATTCTGAAACATGTGCCAGGCACTTAAGCGAGGCACCTGAACAACGTGAACATGGCCCTCACCTTTAGAGGGCTGTGAATGGAAAAGAAATGACAAAGCTGGGCGTCCTCAGTTTCCCCGAAAGTGAGGCGGACGCTTGGAGAAGAACGCTTGCACACCTTCCTCCATGTCGTTACTGGACCAGGTCTTCTTGCGCTTTTCATGAAGCTCCTCGAACACCTCAGGTGTGAGCGACGGCTGGGGGCTCATGCAAAGAAGCTGCCTCTTCAGCAGATGCACCACCAAGGGTGCACGCGATGCAATAATGTCCGCCATCTCTTGTGTCCTCTTCTCTAAGCGTTCCATGGGAACGATGTCATTAACAAAACCAATCTGGAGGGCTTGATCAGCAGAAATGGGTTCCCCTGAGAAGAACATCCACTTGACAATGTGCAGAGGCATGACCTGGATGAAATGAGACATGCCAGAGTGATTGTAGGGCAGCCCGATTTTGGCGGGAGTAATTGCGAAAGAAGTCTGAGGGGTTGCAATGAGGACGTCACAGCAAGCACAAATGTCCGTTGCACCACCCCAAACCGTGCCCTCGATGGACCCGATGACTGGCACAGGCAAGTTCCGAATCCGATCAAGTAGCTTCACAAAGGAGTCTTCGCAAGAGAGAGGGTCCTGAAATTTGCTTTTGCCGAAACTTTGGGCATTTGACCCATCAACCCTTTTAAAATCTCGAACGTCATGGCCTGAACTCCAGACTTTCACACCGGGCGATGATCTCAAAATGACGACACGCACACCAGCAGCGCAACAGCGATCGAGCAACGCGCTGAGTTCGTCGCACACCCTCTGGCTGAGTGCATTTCGTTTGCTTTCGTTGCACATTGTAATGATACCAATAAAGCCATGGACTTCCATCTCGACCACACTTTTGGATCCTGGAAGAATGGGACCTTCACTATTCTTGTCAGTTAGTTTCTCCTTTGGTCGAGTTTGACGGAGGTGATCAAGTGCATCAAGTAGAACCAATGAAGCCCCGGGAGCATGCTTCACAAAGGACCACGCACTTTCTGACAACTTCAAGAAATCCTGTTCGGAGGAGACCTCCTGCTCTTTGAACCATTCCACCAAGTCATGATCCGAAGCCCTGGCAGGTTTGCCTGTCATCGCGTGTGCTGCTGCTACAACTGCCGCGATGCTGCGCTCCTCCATGGCAGTCACTACAATCGATATGGGGCCGGGCGGACCCCTGACACATCAGGCTGCGGATCAGTTGCATCTCCTTTGCAAGCAGCTAGTAGTAACAAGGTGCATCGCTACTAGTAACAAGGGCAATACTACTAGTAGCAAGAAGCTACTAGTAGTTCCTGGCATTGCTACTAGGAACAAGAAGCTACTAGTAGCAAAGGGCATTACTGCTAGAAACATCTAGTAACTAGAAGCTACCAGTAGCGATTCCCTTCGCTACTGGAATCATCGCCATAAGCTTCACCCAACCGGCCACATGACTCCATCGAACATGCAGATCCAGAGCCTCAGCCTCATCTGAAGGCCTTGACAGAACCTACAGACTCAAGAATTGCATATGACGAAATCATGGCATGTGCCGAAACCTCAGGTTCCCATTCGTGGTCACTGTCACTTGACGGAGCATCACCGACCTTGGAGCTCAGCTCAAAACCCATACCGTCTCACATCGACCTCGGGTTCCCTGCTGAGGTGGCCAAGCTCTGAAGCTCTGCACCTTGGGACACTCCCCCCACCTCCTGATTTGGTTCCTAGATTTTTTGGGAAACTAAAAGGGAAGACACGGAGAAGAGTGTTGTGTTGCTGTGCACATGGATCCAACCGGAGCGTGTTGCTCTGTCCTTCAAGGACCTTCGCAGCTTCTTTCGGGAAGGTGCCGAGTCTGTGGCGCTCCGCGGCTTCTTGAACTTCATCAGCCTTAGATTTACAACAACCTGCACTAAAAGTGAGCTCTGCATGGAAAACAGTCCAGTGAGCTGGGTGGGCCACCCATTCCTCAAGAGCGCATACCTCAAAAGGAAAGTCCGTTGGCGTAGATATGGCTGATTGTAGAATTGCAGCTTGAGCACTCCTTCTCGAATAGCCTGTAAATGAAGCAAGTATAGCTTCAGGAAAGCTTGACGTCTGCAGCTACAGCTCGACAAGTTGCCTCTTGTGCTGCCCGCAAGGGCCCACCCCGATGCATTGCCATGCATTCTGAGATCGCCTGACAACATGAAAAGGGTCAGGCCATCCGGTTTGAAGTCAATGAGATGAGATTTAGTTTTGAGACCTCCGCATATTCTTTGCACTTCATGGTCTCCTTGTCCAAGTCCTTCATGTCAAGGCAAAAATCTCAGGTCCAAATACAATCGTTACTGGAAGCTGGATGCCTCCGCTGCCGACTGGATGCCTTCCGCCTTGCGTTGCAATCTGTTCAATTGGGCAAGGTGCCAAACAGAATCTTGGCGCCAAACTGCATGGAGCAACTCATCACTTGAAGCCTTAGACGCTACAGTCCAAGACTGCAGTGACTTTCCTCCAAAACATGCGCCTGAACCATTAACTCCTTTGGCGTTGGCGGCCTCGCGGGCTTTAAAAAAACTATACCAGCATAGACCCCAAACAGCTTCAAGACGATTCGCTTAGACCAATATTAGTCAAACAACAATTTCTTGGCACGCCCTACCTTCACCCCAAGAGCAAACTGCTTCATCAATGATTTTTTGTCGGCATTGACATCACTATTTGTTTGGCCACACTCCTCTCCAGGAAACCGGGCCACAGAGAGAGCCCAGCCACAGAGTTCAGGGGCGCGGCCAAGACAAGGACAAGAGGAGGACAACACCCGGACACAGAGCCGGGCCACAGAGCCCAGCCACAGAGTTCAGGGGCGCGGCCAAGACAAGGACAAGAGGAGGACAAGAAAAGGACAAGAGGAGGACAAGGCCCAGCCAAGAGGAGGACAAGGCCTGGACACAGAGCCCAGCCACAGAGAACAACAGGAGGACAAGGCCTGGACACAGAACAGAGCCCAGCCACAGAGGACAAGAGGAGGACAAGGCCTGGACACAGAGCCCAGCCACAGAGCCTAGCCACAGAGCCCAGCCAGAGTTCAGGGGTGCGGCCAGTGAGTGTGGCCAGCGCTTCTTTTTCTAAGGTAGAACCCCAACAGTCAGGAGTGATACCCTGTAGAGACCCCAGCGTCAGGTGTTGCATGCCTGCAAGGCAGGAGAGGACATTGCAGCCAGGATCTGCAACTGTATAAGTAAACTCAGCTGTGCAGAACAAGGGAAAGTGACCCAAAAAACAAATCATACTGGCACGTTCGATGTTTACAGCAAAAGCCCACACAAAAACAATAGCTGGGCACGCATCCGCCTATTAGGCAATAATGGCAACATCACAACTTCACCAACAAGAGCCCCCAAACATCACAACATGCAATATGCCGACACAGCAGCCTGGCACATGTGCCGACGCATGTCAAAGCATGACAACGCCACAACAAGCAAGCCAGGGAAACTGCTCCGCGACTCACTCTGGAGCCCGCCAGCATGTCAGCACGACAGCATGACCCAACTTCAGGATCTCAGCGTGACACACGGCAGCCTGACAGCCTGTTGGCCTGATGCCATGCCAACATATCAGAGAGGCAACATGTTAACGTGTCTACATGTCCACAGGACCGGACTATATACAACACGCCAACATGTACAACACGCCAACATGACACCTCAGCATGACAACATGTTAGCATGTCAGCAAAAGTCAGCGTTACATCATGTTTGGTAGGGCGACATGACATGGCAGCGCACATGCTCCGGAACCTGCTTCGGAAGTTGCTCCAAAACTCGCTGCTCCTAACCCATACTGTGGCTGAAGACCCCTAAGCTTCGAGAAAAAAGCACGGAGAATGTCAGATTTGGCACCGCCACTGAACCAGGGGTGTTAAATCAGCAATCCTGGATTCAAGTCAAGGGGTTGGAATGGTTGCGTCAACCCATGCGCGCCTTGAAGGTGACGGAGTCCTTGCACGTTTCGTACACATCTGGAAATTGTTTCGCCATGGCACATGTCGTCCTGTTCGCCATGCGGGTGGATGCAAAGGAGCTGACCGGTGACGTTGCCTTGAATGGCATCGATCCCAGAGGAAGTGTCCAATGCATGTGCTGCATGTGCTTGATGTGTGCCACTTGAGGGTGGAAGTTCTAACGAGATAAATGAAGAATTTTGTGCGCGGGCAAAAGCAAACAAATCAATCAAGAAGCAAAGGGACGAAGTGGACACACAACTTGATGAGGTCAGTCCAAGAAAAGCACGGAAGCCAACGGAAAGCGTTCATTGGGACTGCAATGGAAAGTCTTGCTGCAACTACCATCCGCATATTTAGATGCATGATGATGCATGATGTAATAATTGAAGCAAGTCGCTCAGAGGCTCTTATCTACACAACTGCATAAAAGCCAGCCGCACACAGCGCCTCGCTTGTGTTTCCATCAGGGTTTGGTTTAGGTTTGCACCCTGTCTGCAGGGTGTTCGGCTGTGGTTTGGGCCCTGCGGACCCTCACAGATTGTCGAGAGGCAGCAAGCAATGCTGAGCACTCTGCAATGTTTTGCAACTCTGCCTTTTCTAGATGCGTAAGGAGCTGTGAAAGCAGCTCCTTGCAGGCTTGACACCATCAAGGGTGGCCATGCCACGTAGCGGAGGCGACACAACCGGTTGGATGGGGATCAAGGTATCCCACCTGTCCCGGAGTTGTCACGGCCAATATCTGCTATAAAAGGATAGCTGCATGTTGTATGAATTTGCTTTCCCTCGAAAACCGTTTCCGAAAGACTCCTCAAGTCAGCTTGGTTCCTCAAAAGACTTAAAGAAAGGTGATCAAGAACGGAGACACAAGGGCCAAGGTATATACATGAAGCATCAAAGCGATAGTACAGACCGAAGAAGGACAGGACGAGAGACGGAAAAACAAGCCCAAGCAAATGGAGTCAGCAGCTGGACCGACTTGGACACAACATAAGGAAGGCAAGGAAGCAACACTATGGTCATATATACATTGTAGGCAGGAACTATGTAACTTTACGTGCAGCAAAGCTCTCTGGATCTTTCAAAATTTCTACAGCAAGGGCCACCACAACTGGAGGTGTCAGGCTTCCAGTTTGTGAACTTTTGCCTGGCTGCTTCTTGCCAATATAATACCCTCAATTGGACTTGGATTCTCTTGTAACAAACAGAGTAGATCAATCCTTGCATGGAAGCTGCCTCTAATCTTCTTCAAGCCTTTGCCAAGCAACCTGTCACATCCAAAAGAGTGCCTTTGAAATACTTCTCACTAAGCAATGCGGACAAACAGGTCTGGGCGGCTTTTTTGCTCCGCCCCAACCACGCTTCTTCTGTCGTCCCTGCGAGTACAAAGAAGCGTGGGATTTGCAACGGAATTGTGTAGGGATTTTGCCACCTTCTCATCCCCTTCCTCGGAAGGGGCGATCTCGGACGGAGCCAAAGATTGAGTCTCAAACTCATCCTCTGACCTCGGAACAAAAGACGAAGAAGGGACGTATTGGACTCTTTGGACTTGTCTGAGCAGAGTGTTTTCTCAATCTAAGGTGAATACTCTTCCTCCAACTCCATAGCCTCGACACGGCTTTCATCAGCCAGGTGCATGACATATTTCTTGAGCAAGGCCTTTCTGTTCGAGAGAATGACATCAGGAAGATTCAACCTAATTGGGCTCCAAGGACCTGACTTTTGCCAAAGCAGCTTGAGCTGCCTCCGATAAGGCCGTAGCCATAGCGTGACAAAACAATCAAATCTGCCAAACAACCTAGTGGCACTCTCAAGTGGCACGCCTGCTTGTTTCGCTTGCATTCTTCTAGCCTCTGCTGAGACTGCACCAACATACAAGCGCATACTTCATACTTACAAATAATAAGGCAAAATGTCAACAGGCGGTGGCCTTTCATAAGCACCAATTCTGGCAGCTCTTGCTTGCGACAGCTCTACACTTAAGCGTAACACCTGTCACAAGCTGTTGTCAAAATGAGTATTCACAACTTTCCACACCATACCTATGTGTTCTTTCCGCCTCTGAATGAAGAAGACTTTTGTCAGATCTCCCATTCAGAGCCTGCCAACATAGGAGAAATACGATGATGTCGGTGCTCAAAACGTGGCAGCGAAGGTTCCTGGTCAACCTCCTTCCATCTCTGCAAGAGTTCAAGGGACGAGCTGCCGCCAAGAACACAGGCCAATCGAGCCTCGGTACTATCTGATCTAGTTTGAGAGTTTACAGCCGTAGCTCATTGTGAATCAACGCAGGTGTTCTTCCTCCAGCGCTTTCAGTCCTTTTGTGACATACACGCGACGACATAAGCTACAGACGCAACAAAACAACCACTCCGCGCACGACAAGACGCGAAACACAACACCATAGAGCGCACGACAGTTTGCACTATTACAAACACGCCACTTCGCCAAAAGAAGTCGACGGAGACCTTTTCGTACACCGAAACGCTACTTTTGGCCAACCTCTAAAGACCTCTACTTTGTCCCGCTTTTCTACATTCTACATGTTAATACCTTTTCTCAGAAACCTTCGCTCTGGGCTACCTTTCATGTTTGCAAAGGTCTCTTCAAGACTTCCTTTGAATAATCCATGGTGCTCACCTGTGCCCACCTTTTGTTGGAAAAGAAAATACTACTGGCAGTGTTTTCTGCTGCACCTGGAGGGTTGAAACTGGAGAGTGAGTAAAAGAGACCTTCAAAAATGGTGCAGTTTTAATGCAAAGGCTAAAGGAAAACGTTGCGAAACGTAGGTGTTCAGCATCTAGATATGTCTATCCAATGCCACTCAATGTTCAGCATGGATTTTCCTGCTGCAACCAAATATGCCCAATCGTGAAAGTCCAAGAGTCCAACAAGAGTCTTTGGAACACAATGTGCAAACTATTGCTTTGAACTCTAGGGCTTAAAGCTCTGTAATGCAGCGTGTGACACCATCACCTCTAATCCTTCATGTACAGTACCTGGTCCTGTTTTAGCCTGTGTTGAGACGGCCACCACAGCGACCACAGAGCTGGGCGGCCCTGTGAGGCAACAGCATCAAGTGGATTTGCACGGAAAATCCCGCTGACACCGGCCTGCATCCTCAGGATGTTGGAGACCGTCCACCCTAACCTGGTCATCCAACAGATTCTTGGACTCAAAGTACTGCAGGCTCTTGCTCGACCTCCAGGGCCTCCTTTACTTCTGGTTGAGCCAAGTGATGCTTGACCTTTCTCCAGCTCTCTCATGTTCCAATAAGAATGAGAAGAAGACATCTGATGCCTGTATTTCACATCTGAATCATCGAAACCTTCCTGATGCCCAAATTGATGTTTAAAGTGTCGGTTTGTTTCAGGGCTCAGATTTGACACCTCGTCTACAGCCTCCTGTTGAGCCAAAGCCCAAGCCTGAGAAGTGCACAAAAGGCTGCCACACGCTACTGAAAATTCCAAAATTGGCATCGAGCAAAATGAAAAATAGAACAAACTGTTGCCTTTTTTTTGGCAGAATGCATTGAAGACTATATATTTGCAGCGCCTGAAGCGCCTTCACATCCAGCACGTCTCCAGGCAGCTCGGGCAACTCCTTCAATCTCACCAGCTGGTCCCAAGCTACACTGAGCGGACTGCGCAATGGGTGTCAAGTCGACACGTTGTCCTCCATCCCCCACTCAGCGGACACATGATCTTGAAGCCAGGCTTTAGGATGTTTCAGATTCTTTGGCTAACCAGTCAAGAGCGTAGGTAGGGATGCCTCAATCTCATGTGCAGGCAGCAGGGATGTAATCGTAGTCAGTTATCAGGCTTGGAAGAATGCAAAAAAAGTATTTCATTTGCTGGTACGCCTGCTCGTGGGTGTGGTGCTTGAGGGTATGTGCAGAGAAGTATCGTAATCTGTATAATGTGCGTTGTCTTGCAAATGTGCAGTGAATTAGTTGGCTGCATCAAAGAATGTCAAGCATGCAGAGCATTTTGACATCTATTTGGCCAAAATCGTTTCACGTTCCTTGGTAAAAGTAGTCGGCGCGCCCCATCAATCTTGCCAGCTAAACCCTTGAAACCACCGCAATGCGGTCTTTCGGCTAGGCACGCGGCAAGCAATCGGACGACCATATTGGTGTCCGCATCAGAAACTCTCACTCAGGTTCAACGCGAACCCAACCTTAAGAACACGCATGTAGTCTCACGACCCTGTACTAGCTGCACACCGGATGTAGCAACAAGGGGCTAGCCAATGTTCAAATCCATATACTTTTATGCACAAGCCACAAGGACCTTCGCTCTGTGGAATCTAGTTTACAGACGAGGAATTGCTCTTTTTGGCTACTAAGCTCTTTCAAAGAGCCACCACGAAGCCCTTTTGCAGGTGCAATTTCAGGTCTGAAGTCCATTGAAATATGTTTAGCAAAGCATGCAGGGTGGCGTGCAACTTGGATCTTGGTGTCCAAACCTGAGACAGCCTACTTAAGGCGGTCCAACCAAGCTAGTTGAAACAAGAGAGGCAAAGGCAAAAGGGGTAAGATCGATTCCTATCCCGCAAAGCAAAATCGATACCTTAAGCGACTCCACTCATCGATGTGGGGCAACACTGTGAGACGACGGTTCACAGGTGCGAGATACAGTTTTAGTCACCCCAAAGAAAGGCCGACCCATGAAAAAGCTGAGTTGAAAAAGGACACCAGCCAAAAGCAACATGTTTCGCCCTTGGTCACAAAAAAGGTGAATGGTGCCATTTGTCGCTCCCGAACCTCTGAGAAAGGGACGACTCTGGCCGAACTTGGAAGGATCCTCATTTCCCAGCAACTCCTGTTGGCTGGCACACCCTCCCAGCAATCGAGTCCTTGTTTCAACAAATTATCACTGTCAATGTATCTCTATGTATAGACCTTTCATTCAATATCAAACAGGTATTGCTTGTTTTTCTTCAGCCGCTCTAGCCCCATCCTTCACAGCCTTTTGCCGTTCCTTTTCCAAAAGGTTTGGATTCCAGCCTGGCAAGAGCTAGTCTCAGTCTGGTCTTAAAGCCATCTTCTCTTCTCTGTGAGTACAGAAAAAGAGAGCCCAATTTCGTCAGGTGTTCGCCGTGCTTCTTGTTGCATCCAGGCTGGATCATGGTCCAAGCCTAGCAAAAATGCTGCTCAGGTGATCGACAGGGCCTCTCACACAAGCCGAGCTCTTGACCAGTGGCAGCATCAAAGTCCGGATGGTATCTCCTTTCAACTTGGAATTGAAATTTGTTTGCGCAAATACCCAGCAAAATAGACACTTGACGCCTCAGTCTCGGATGCTGTGACAAAGGCATTTCTGGGCGTTCAAAGACCGTAAAGAAGTCCTTCAGACGCAACTAGGAAACTTTGAAGCCACCAGAATCTTGCTCAAGTCCTCTGGAGGGTTCGTGAATTGGCTGACCTGTTGGGTCGTGGGCGCTTCCTTGGTCGTGGGTTCTTTGGTCCTCAGTGAGAGCGCACTTGTGAACTTGCCTTTCCACATATATTCTCAGTTGAGCCACTCGGTGCCTGTGCAAGCCTGATGTAGGCGCCAAATCGTCTCCTGAAGTGAGTTTCAGTACAATCAGTGGTCCTTTTGAATGTGTGTTTCGCACCAGTGTTGTGCAAAGTGATCAGCAAATGTAAGTGGTCAACAAGGAACGCCTCTCGTTTAAGAAGGCCATGTTGTGCCCAAAGTTCTGCCCTGCCATGCGTTGACACCATAGAAATCAAGATCAAAATTGAAAGTTTCAGCACGTGAACCTGGCTGCGCATGTTTGACAACGTTTGACATACCAAACGCCAAAAAAAAAATTAAGGGTTATCACTTGGCATTCGGGTTTTGGAACGAAACATGGCTTGCCTCAAAGCCTCCACGAGAACTTCAGGATGAACCCTCCTCAACTGCGTTTGCAGCAAATGCGGCACATAAAGCCCGTTGAACGGTTTTTCAATAGAAAAAAGGTTCCAAGAGCTCGCCAAGGTGAACATAACCATTGAAAGCAAAAAAATCCATGAAAATTTGCTCTGCACACGAACGACTTGTTCAAAGCGCCAGAATAATAGTAAAGCCTTTGTTCTTATGTGTTCAATTTGTCCGAATGTCGTGCGCAAAATGTGTCTTTGTTCATCAGGAAGATCAATCCAGATTAGCTCAAAAGGTAACTAACAAACGCCAGCACCATGTCCTCTATGGGGGGGGCATCCCGCCGTATCAGAACTCTAGAAAACCGCGCGAGGGTAAAATTTGCTGTAGAACAAGAAAAAACCATTCCAACGTAGCATATCTTCTGTGAGCCACCCGAAGGAAAAATTTAGCGGAGAAGGAAAAGTTCCAACATGCCATAATTTTTGTGAGCCACGCCAGGGCAAAACCAGCCCCAGATAGATAGAACTTTTTGCGAGTTGCCCGACATAAACATTTAGAATGGGAAAAAGGTCTCCAACGTAGCACACTTTTTGCCCGCCACCCATGGTAGAAACTCATGGGAAAGAGCCATTCCAACACATCACACCTTCCGTGAACCGCCCGAAGGTTAAGTTTACAAAAGGCAAAAGAGCCACTCCAACGGCTCAAAAGTAGCAAGTCTTTCGTGAGCAAGTCTAGGGTAGAATTTAGAAGATGAAAAGGCATTATTATCATGCCATAGCCCTATGTTGAAATGCATAAGTCCGCCGACCCTGGCCTAGACGATGCCTAGGCGGGGCGGCGCCCGGGACAGCGCGGCCAATGACCTGTGCTACGACTCCTGGGCCTCCCTGGAACCCTACGCAGCAAGTTTGGGCAGTCTACAGGGCAGCCAGGGACTGGTCTGTGGGCATCACCTCGGCTGCTGCTACGCGGCTCCGCACCTCTTTTTCTATAGGGTTCCAAAAGCGACGTTAGACACCCTGGCCGCTGAGGTCTGGCACCGTTTCCGACCGCTGTTTCTGCTGAGCGGCTCCGCACCTCGTTTTTATGGGGTTCCTAAGCGACTTTAGACACCCTGGCCGCTGCCGTCGGGCACCGTTTCCGACCGCTGTTGCGCGCAGAGACTTGGTTTCTATGCGTTTCGAAACCGCCGTTTGCGAGCCCTGGTGCCGAGCAGACTTGCTTTTCACAGCGCTGACTTTATTACGTCCTCCTGTTCTGCCTTGACTTTCTTGTCTTGGACGCGCCAAGACGTGTTGGGGCATTGTTCCCCCGACGGCGATGTGTGCGGAAGTCGCAGCCACCCATGGGCAGCTGGACCACACAACGGTTTGGCAGGCGCGTGACGCCTGGTCCTAGGGTTGACCACCCTATCTTTGACGTGAAACTGATTGCCACACACCGTTCGATGGTCCACGCGCCCAGTTTGACCTTACTTGACACATTGCCTTTGCACCGTGGACAACAATAATAATAACCTTTCCCGGCCACCTTTCCTTCACTGACAGCGAAACGGTTCCCGCATGCTCGCCGGTGATCTAAAAGGGCCTGCGCGCACGGCGCTGCCGACACACGCATTGCAGAAGGGACACACGTATTGGTATGGCTTTCTTGTCTGTGTTGCGCGCTGTTCTTTCCGCGCAGGGGGCCGTGCTTCGGCTGTTCATGTTGTGTCCTTCGTTTGCGCACACGCTTCTTGCGTGTCCGGTCCACTGTCTTCCCTTTTTCTTTTCTGCGACTTTCTCGGGTCTGCGTCTCTTGCGCTGCTTCTTTTCTCCACTGAGGCCCGGCGTCTTCCACCGCCGCTGGGCACCTGCTCTGTCTGTCTGCCTCTCTGGCGCGGCCGTTGTGTCTTGCTCTCGACCTCACCACGGCGTTGTTACAGTTTCGCCTGCGCGCGCTTCTGCCCTCGTGGGGGCGAGCATCACATCCTCACCTTTCTTTTGTCGTCTGCGTGGCTGCGCGGCACGGGTGTTGCCATCGGGTACGCGGGCTTCTTCGCCGCAGAGTCGCTTCGCCACCATCGGACAAAGGTCTTCTTCACTCGTCCGTGTCTTGATCAATGCGCGGACTTCCACCACTAGCACTCTGCGCCGTTCTTCGTCCAGTCCCCGTCGGAGCTTGGCCAGCTTGCCCTTTTGCACGTTGGGCCGTGGTGCGCTTTGCTACGAGCCGCGCGCAGGTGTTGCAGCGCTGATTTCCAGTTTGCCCCCCGTTGCGCCACCTCGCCCACGCGCTGAATTTCTTGCGCGCCTTACGCGCGGTGCAAACTGCGCACAGCCCGTGACCTTTCATGTTCACCGCTTGGTCGCCACAAACACGTCGGGCCGCGCCGCGCCTTCCATGCAGCAGCGCCAAATGCGGCCTCCGGCTTACGCACGCCGCACTTGAAGCATGGCTTCTGTGCTTCGCACGTGTGGCACACGCGGTAGAAAGTCCGCGGGGCGCCGGCATACATCTTTGCAAAGGCGTCCTCTTGCTTCCATGTTTTGCAGACATTGCATTGCCACAGCGTGTTGTTTGCTGCGTGGTTACGCACGCATTCTCTGCACACCCGTGCTTCTTCTCCTCGCTTCCACTGCCCAGCGGTGTACGCGCTTGTGGGCTTCGGCTCGTGGCATTCGCTGCGCGCAAATTCGCGCAGCGTCGCCCAATCTAAAACGTCCCCGCGCCATGCTTGCAACAGCTCCATCCAAGCACATCGCCCGGACACCCCTTCAGTATGCCTCTGCGGCGATCCAGGTGGTCAGTTGCTGTCACGGGCACGCCGACGCACAAGAGCAAAACCCCATATAGCCCGCCGCAGTCTTGGTCGGGGCGTTGCAACCACGTCAACTTGTCTTTCCCTAGATCGGGTTTCTCCTGCAAGGCGTGACTGGCATGACTGCACAGTCTGCCCATGCTTTTGCGCCCATTCTTGCGCACGCAACTTGTTGACGTGGTATTTGACTGCGTTGGTGGCAAACACCGCTCTTGCGCGCTCAATCTGTTCTGCGCTGAAGCTGATCGGGGTTCCGTCTAGCACACGTTTCTTGGACGCTCGTTGTTGCTTGCACACTGGGCATTCCTGCGTCCAGATTCGGGCCGGAGCCAGGTTAGCGTGCATCAATGCTGTGCACGCCGCCTGTTGACATTCTATAGTGTTTCGCCCGACCAACTCCCTGGACACGACGCGTCGTGGCCGTGCAAGAACGCGTGATCGTCAGCCGTCAGGGCCCCATCTCGAAGCTGTTCTTGCACATTTTGCAACCAAGCGTCCCGCGTCCGCTCACATTCGACAAGTTCCGTGATGCCTTGGACAACGCTCGGCTCTTTCTGCGACCCCACACGAGCTCTTGCCCGTGCACGGTGTGGGCAACTCTTTTGCTCTTCCCGCTTGTCAGCATTTCCCAGGGAACGTCTCCCAAGAAGGTCCCTCGCGGAGGCGCCCACTGCCACAAATCCCCGGCCATTCAACCCTCTGAATGGCCGCGCCAGGGCTCTTCCTTTCGCATACTTGCTTTGTGAGAGGTCTCGCACCAGTTCCCGGCAGCGCAAATCCACTCTTGCCAAATTGGCTCTGCGCTGATCATGCTGATTTCGTCGAGTATGAGCCAACGCCATTGCACAGCCTTGGCACTTAAGTCCAATAATCTCGCCCCACTGATCTTGTCGTCTGCAGAGCACCCTGCCAATTCAACCCCAGGAATGGTATTGCACCATCCATGATTTTCTCCGGAGTTCCGTCGCCCCCTCGGTATGGGGCTTGTTTGATCAACATGATCTTTCCATTGGCTGGATTTGCTCGCACGTCCATGATTTCTTGTTTGCTGGAAATTTGAACGATGAAAGGTGGTTCAGCATCTGCAAGAAGATCCAAGAAAAGTTTCGCTGGGGCGATTGGGAGAAGGGTTCCTTTTCCCAGCGCGGAGTAAAGATAGAGTCTCTAGACAATGGTGGCTTCTGCTTGAGTCAGGAGGACTTCCTGGACAGTGTTGACGAGATCTATATTCACAAGTGAGCATTTCCACAGTGGAAGATCTTGTGGGGCGAATAGGGTGCTGAGGAGAGCAAAAGCTTGAGGAAGACAAAAGATTTTCATTCATGCCATTCCTCCAGAACAGCTTGTTGTCACATGGGTGGACGTGGCGCACGCCAACCGTCCGGATGGTGGCAGTACTAAAGGTGTGCTGAGCGGAAACGAGAGCTGCAGTGGATGGCGACGATCAAATGTTTGCAATACGATTTCAGCTAGCTGAATTTCTGGGATACCCTCCTGACATTCGGAACTTGGACAACTACGTATCCTTGATTCCTGGAGTGTTGATCTCCGATGCAAAGAGCCTTTACGATCGACTGTCCCAAACGACGCTGACGTTGAGAGGAGCTGAGAAGCGCAGCGACCTTGAGAGCCTGTGCCTAAAAGAACCGAAGCCGGGACCCTGGTGAGATGGGTCAATGGTGACTCCCAGTTGGCAAATAGCTTGACTAAATCTCACGAGCCTCATCAGATGTTGCTGCTCATTTCCCGCAATTGCCGTTGGAGAATAGTGTGTGATTCTGAACTGATTTCGGGTAAGAAAAGAAGATCCCAAGGCTTGCACGCCTTAGAACCCAACAGAGAGAGTGCATCTCACAGTTAAAATTTAAGAATTTTGGACCTGTGTGAATTCCATTCAGGTCACACCAACCGTTCGCAATATTGGTGATCAAGCACCTTCAACCCTCGCTCAGAAAAGGAGCAATTCGTTCGCGAGGGCATTTGACCGACTTGAGCTTCGCACAGTGTATGTGTATATATATATACACATAAAGCCGACGGTCCTTCCACCGCTCACAAGAGTATCCAAATCAAAAAACCATTGCATTCAGGCCGGGACTGTTTGGAGGCAGTCGCCCGTGCCTCTCTGATGCCCCTTCGAACCTTTCTGATGAGCTCCAGCCTAAACATGGGAATGCAGTTCTCTGGTCAAACAGCCGTTTGGCTGACGATCTATGAGTGTATGTAAGTGTCCAGCGTAATCCAAGCAGCTCTTGTACTGACTTTCTTCATCCTGTCCCTGCAGTCCTTCAATGAGCACAGCCCAGGCAACATACCCGTGCGTGCGAAGGGTGAGCCTTCAGGAAACGGAGCTCCGTCTGCATCTTCTCCGACTTGATGTTCTCCAAATTGGCAATTTCCTAAAAGTTTACACAGCTCAAGTGACTTGAAGTCTTTAAGTATTCAAAAAATATATAGAACATCTGAAGGTCGAGCCTTATCGATGGCATCCTGGATCGCCTTTGGAGATTCTTCCTTGAAGAATCGATGAATGAGTGGGAAGTACCTTGGAAGCACACTTTTGCATGATGATCTGTGCTGATGATAAACTCTTACAATGAACCCGTCCTCCGTTGGAACCCTCGACCTTCCTTCCCCGCTTCTTTAACATGGAGATCGCCCTCCTCAGCGGCATTTTCACAGAGTTGAGTGGATTCACAAGTCAAATTGGTGTGTGGCGAATGTATTTGCGGGATAGATTCCAGCGGCAGGGGCAGTGAATGCTCACGCAGCAATAGGCGAGAATCTGCTTCAGAAACCTTCAGGGTTGTGTTGAATTGATTAGCTTTCAAAAAGCCTGAGCTGTTGACACAGGGACAATGATTCAGCACCAAAAGAATGACAGCCTGAACCCAGACCCATAGCTCCCGTGTCACCCGAGAAAGAACCCTGCCTCCAGGTGCTTCTCGGCTGTCAACTCCAAAAAGGGTAGAGCTTCGGGTGAAAGCCAATGCCTAGTCCGCATTCTAGGCCGTGCTAGGGCCCTATGCTGCAAGAGAAGAGCTTCTTGCAAACTTGTTCCATGCATGCCCAGGCTGCTCCACCAGGTCCAAACTCACTAGGTCTGCACCCTCCAGCTCCCTGCAAAAAGGCCACCAAACGGCCAAGTGCAATAAAGCAAGTGCGGAAACTCCCTTAGCTCCTTCGCTCCCCTTTTGAATCCTTTCAATTATATGGAGTAGTTCCTTATCCGCCTCCACCGAACATTCGTGTGCATTGGTCAACATCTATCGCTCAGCCGCCAGGCCATCCAGTCAGGGCCAGGAATTCACCCAAACTGCTCAACTCCGCCGGCAGTGATCCAAGCCTGGGATTGCACGCTTCGGAATCTGTGGCATCCGTGGCCAGAATCTTGGAAATGATCTCAGATCCATGCACATACGTCATCCCTCCCATGGGAACAAGCCCTTGGTGACAAGCTCTAACCTCAGCCATTTGAGCTGCCAAACTGGATGCCCAGCCAACACCCTTGCATTGATCCTTAAAACGAAACATTCTGCAGTGCTTGAGTGTGGCTTTTGGCGGTCTGGGAGGAGAAGTCCACCCGTTGCTGTAGCACTGATCAGCAACAGTGGTATCATGATCGCGGCACTGTCGTCGTTGGAGGGGTTGGGAGGTTGCGAGGGACCAACAGTGCTGCAGTTGTAACTATCCATTGCCACGAGAGTGCCATAATTTCCTCCTGTAAGCTTGATAAAGAATTCCAAATCCAACCACACTATGTTGGCGTGTCGATCAAACTGTACTGGTCCGGTCCATCCATGTTACTTTCTGCATTCAGTGGAATAGTTCAGAACCATACCTTACCTACTGCGCAAACTTCCCCCCCATTCTCACAACTAGGGGGGAGCTGCTGAGACTTCAGCAAGTTATCTGCGTCGACCCCATACGAACTCTAGGACCCTAGGACTGCAATGCACATGTTTGGCAAACACTGTGGCTAAGCTAAGCAGGTTGCACAGCACCTGCTCAAACCCCAGCACTGAGTGCTTGGCACAAAGGGTCGAATCTTCCCATGCACCCGAAAAGGGTGCTAAGCAGGCCAAGGCCTGGCTGGGATCAAAGTGACGACCGTCAACCATTGTCAATGAGCCAGCATTGCACCACCACCATCTTGGGCATAGCCACTGATGTGGCTGATCAAAGGCCTTGGCTGGAAACAAGGCAGCAACCCACATCCCAGGCACCTTGTAGAAGATGCAGGGGAGCAGCCGCTTTTAAGCTGCTTAACATCCCAAGAATGGAAGTTGGCATGTGGTGATCAAACGTCGTACATCAGTCAATTGTGGCAATCAAGCGATCGGCTTCCTGTAGTCTGCCACCAAGTGTGCCAGTTCCTGACACGTCTGCTCTGCAACTGCAAGTAAACTACGTTCGACCTGAATCAGCTTTGCAGCGAGCTTGAACGACTGAAACGCCATTCAGGCCTGGAAGTTCCACAGCAATGCTTTTGAGAAATCCGGCAAAGCACCTTTCTTGTTGGCCTTGGAATGACCATCTCTCGGCTAGCGCTCTTCCTCCCTCGAACCCTTCAGCGATTCTGAGAAGCGCACCATCACAGCAGCTAGCAGCAATTCTTTGGGATCCAGGCCTGCCGAAGTATCGCTCTTGGGGAGGCCATCGCTATTAGGAACACGGACGCTACTAGGGGCTCCTGGCCATACTACTAGGAACAAGGACACTACTAGGAACAAAGGGCATCGCTACGAACAGAGCAAGGACGCTCTTAGGTTGGAGGCCGTCGCTAGCTCAAGGAAGCTCAAGGAAGCTCAAACTTCGCTTAGCGCTTGTCCCATGCTCCGACAGCCCGCTCTTTAACAGGAATGCCAAATATTTGAGGTCTCCACCGACTGAAAAGGGTCCTGGCCTCCACATGGAAAGTGAAATGTATCTTTGACCGCAAACAGAAAGTCCTTGAGGCGGCCGCTCCATAGCTGCAAGCCCCACAAACCGCTTCAAACTATTCACCTCCAAATTTCGAAGGCGCCTCACTTTGAATTTCAGGCAACGCTGCAAGTCGCTGTGAAACAAGTCGCTGTGAGTCTGGCTGGTAGAGGTCGTTGATGCTTGGAAGATCAAAGCCCTCAGCCTCGGAACCAAATGGGCCTGGCAATACTCAGTACAAAGAGTACCCAGGTGCCAGACTCTGTTCATTACCACCATTCCCATTCCAACATTGTTTCTCCTGAGAGAGTCATACACCCGAACCTGCTCAAGGCAAAGCTCAGAGCTTCAGGCTCGAGAATGCCGCTTCGCAGCGTTGGATCGTCCATCGCCCGCCATCGCCTCAAATCACAACCGGAGAGCAAAAAACGTTGCAAAGACCATCGGAGTTCAACGATCTGTGGCTAGCGCGCGTTCAACGGCTCCGAAAGAAGTGGACCCTGGACTGCACAACCCACATCTCACTTCTGTGCCACGGCCAGGCTGAACACCGCCTCCGGGTCAATGAAAAAGGGATCGTTTTCTTCAGGAAAGAAGCCAGTGCCTGGGACATCGGGCGTTCGGAACACGTCTCTGACACCGAACCTCTCTGATCGAGCTCTCTGACGAACGTGACGTCGTCCCGCCCCAAGTCCAGCGTGATGTAGCTTCCCGCCTCGAGTCCAAACATGTGAACGAAGGTGGAAGATGACAAGCCATCGAACATGCCGAGCTGCGAATGATGCCACATCTCCGCGTTCCACGTGCCAAATTGTTCAAAGGCACCTCAAATCACAGTGACACAAAAACCTTGGTCTTCTCTGGGGTCTTGATGACCTCAATGTGACTTGGGAAGCTGCGCGCGACCAAACCATGGTCTCCAAAGGATCAGTCTGCTCATTCCGTGACCGCTGAAAACTGGGTCGATGGAGTAAAAATTCTGAACGCAGGTTGTGTTTGCTGGTGGAACAGTTTGCTGACAATGAATGAACTGGACTCGAGCCAGGCAGAAAAAGCGAATAAAACAAATGCTGTTGGCTGCTGAATGAAGCTGGAGCTCCATGAAAGCCATCTGCCTCGTCGGCAAGGAGCTCAAAAGTCGGCCATTTTTCCCATCAAAGCCACGCACCGTCTCCATCCTGCAGCTTGAGGCTTGGTGCAAATGCAGGCAGAACAACTGCAAGCCATGCTGCAAAGGGTGTCAATCTGGGAGTATGACTGTGACTTCTTCTGGAGATGTCTCTGGCATGTCCAGGCTAAAATCATCAGGCCTGGTGGATGTACAGTACCAGAAGTTTCAATCAACCATTTGGAGCGCAACTTGGAATCGTGCTTTTTTCTTTGGGCGAAGGTAACCAGAAATGAAAGATCAAACCTCGCATGCAACAAGGCACAAAGGCATCCAAAAGCTGCACATGTCAGCATGTAGCTTGGAATCCATGCGGCAAACAATTGCGACACCTTGCAGGCGCCAGCAAAAGTGTTGTCTGGTTTGGACATGCTGAGAAATCCAAAATACTGCACAGTAGTGAAGGTAGGCTTCCTGCCACAGAATCAGGAGTACCTGTCCGCAGACTACTGTTGATTGGCAACAATGGCCGCATGCAAAGGTGCCTGGAAAAAGGAGCAAGCATAGCCCATCAGGCTTGGAATGAGGACCACCATATCCTGCCAAGAAACTCCCAATCATCGTGCGCACAAGTTTGGGCATCCGGACCTCAATGAGGAGCGCATAAATGCTCCAGAGGGCCTTGGTGGACAGGAATCCCAGGAACAGTATTTTCTCCTGACATAGCACAACTGTCATCCCTCCAATGCTTCAGAGAGACATTGTTGAAGACGTTGACAACTACCCTGTCAAGCAACCGCTCGGTGCTTTGCAGGATGCGGCACAATGGCTCGAGCAAAATCAAACAATCATCCAGCATGTTGTAAAATTCCAAAAGTGCTGCTATCAAAATCTACAGGAACCTTAGGACCTATATCGACTGAACGGCCAGAACAAAGCCCAAGTTGCAAGAAGGTCGGGAATTGGCTGCTGTTGCGCGTGCGCAAAGCGATGCCCAGATTCATCAGTGGAGACCTGAACTGTGCGTTGCTAACAAATCTGTGCGTTGCTGACGAATCCGCACGTCCAAGCTGCTGACGAATATAAGAAGACGTTAAAGACCTGAGACATTCAAAGCCGCCGCACGCCCAAGACAATCCGCTACCGATCGCAGCAGAGACATCAAAGACCGAGCTAGGTACTGTTATGGATTGTCCCAGAAGGTTGATGGGGACCTGAGAAAACTGCCGGAAAGGAAACGAAAAAAAAGCCAGCAAGAAAGGAACCAGGGAACAAGGAAGCAAGAAAGAAAAAAGATGCCAATTTGCTCTTGTTGCCGCTAAGGCTACTGCACATCTGCTCGAGACAAAGATCCCCGAGTTCAATACAACAGATAGGTACAAGGCAAAGGACAGCCATTCGCTTTCCAGTGACCTGGAGATTGCCAAAAGTCACTCCCTTCTCAAGTGCATAGCGGAAGCACATGGCAGGTGGGCGCGTAGCGTTCTCCGGCTAGGAAAAGTACTTGGCATGCAAGGCCTGATCTGCGATGTAATTCACATACTTAGAGGGAGGCATTCCTTTGGGTTTGATTTCTCAGGAGTGTGCCAAACATGTTTGTCATCAACACAGCGGCATTGGCAATTTGCAGACCGTAGGCAATGCTTAAAACATTGCAAGCGGCCTGGGCCAGATGAATCGTGCAAATTGACCCGAGGACAGTGACCAAAGCAAGTCCGTGAAGTTGCTGCAGCGCCTGAAGCTTGAAAACAATGACATTGAGGTTGCTGGCCTGAAGTCAATAAAGGCAACTGGAATCTTTTGTCTTTGGCGCAAATAAGAGGTGTACGTCCTCAGAACTGACTCGCCTGGCCTTCATAAGGCGAACGGCATCCAGAACTGTTGGGGTTGGAGCGACCTGATCTTGAAAACGTGAAAACGTTTCTGGGTCGGTGTGACGGTGGAATTCAACCTTCCATGTGAAGTTGTGAGGGCGAGACATAAGAAATGATGGTGATCAAGGGGCAAGCTAGTGATAGGCTCAAGGTGGCAACCTGCTGTCACTCTTCGAAGTGCAAAACACCGGGCTGGCACAGGTCCAGCAAATGCTCGCATATACTCTGCCGCACTCTCTGCCTTTTTTCGCTTGCAGGCAAATGCCTATACTCTTGGCAAGCTTGGCTAATAAGGGTGAAACCTATCTCCCTTCCCTTCCGGCCACTCTCCCTTTCCTTCCTGCCACTCTCCCTTCCCTCCCTGCCAGTCTCCCGGCCCCTTCCCTCCCTGCCAGTCTCCCGGCCCCTTCCCTCCCTGCCAGTCTCCCGGCCCCTTCCCTCCCTGCCAGTCTCCCAGCCCCTTCCCTCCCTGCCAATCTCCCGGCCCCTTCCCTTCCTGTCCCTGCCAGTCTCCATTTCCTCCCGGCCACCATGGGTCCTCCCATCCACCATCCCAGGAGTCATTTCCCCACCATCCCCACTCATTCAGCATGTTTGTCGCTACATTCCACAGCTGCTCAAACTTGCCTTTGCCCTTGCCAAAGCCTTTAGCATCTTTGCCAAAGCCTTTCCCGTCCTTGCCAAACTCCTTGCCCTTGCCTTTTCCTTTGCCTTTTGGAGGCCTGGGCTTGGGCTCTTTTCCAGGTGGGAATCCCTCAGGGCAAATCTTCACATTTGCTGCTTTCACTCCACGAGCATCTTCTACAATATTGAAAGACACCACTGCGCCCTCCACCTGTTCACCCAATTGACTCCTCAGTACCAAGATGTCCTTCTCATAAACATCCTTGGTCTCATCACATTCTATGAAGCCAAGACCTCTGTCGTGGTGGAAGTTCTTGATGATGCCGTAGTAGGTCGGCAATCGGTCTGCCATTTCCTGTATTCTTTCCTGGCGAACAGTCGGTCGCGAAGAACACATAACGAGGAAGCAAACCATCCAAAAAGAAAGCACTGCGAAGCATCTAGCAAGTCTCTCAAGAAACATCTCGCCAAGGCCAAGGATCCACCACTTCGATCTCCACAGCCTTGGGACCTTTGAATCCTGTCTGAATTCTGAAATTCACCTGAGATGCCACGAACCTGCCCTCTCATGACATCAACAAAGCGGCGCTCTCACCACCAATTCAACAAATAACCATGCAGCTGAGGTGCCCTGTCTCCCGTGCTGACAATCAGCCCATTTAAGGAACTCCGCAGCAGGAATATGTCTTTTCCTCGATCGTATTATATAGTATGAGGCGAGATGTTAACACATGTTAACACCAAAGCAAAGCAGTTTGGTTGTTTGCACTGAACTCATGCAAAGTCTCCATAAATTTCTTGTGTCTCTTTGCACTCGATGAAGCCAAATCCTTTCTCCTGCTCCAGCTTGGCTTAGAAAAGCTAAAAAGATGCCCAGCTATATAAATCAAGAGATCCAATGCATAAACCGACTTTGCAAAAAAAAGATGCCATGCGAGATCTTTCCTCGTTGTAATCCACGATTTGGCCAGTGTAGGTAGGCCCTTCTATCACCGGTGCCGGTCGTGGAGCCGGTGCCGGAGCTGTTGAGGCTACGGCTGGGAGGGCGACTCCAGGCAGCCCCGCTGGAAGCCCCGCTGGAAGCCCTGGCAAAGTTGGAAGCCCAGCTGGAAGTGCAATCCTGAAAGAAAAATGTTTATCTAACAAAGTCATGTTTAGATGACATGTTTTGTCGCAAAGCATTACAAAATTGTCAGAAGAGAATGAGAATTGCAATATCTTCAGCAAAGACCAAGATGCACTCCACCACCAGCACCACCGCCAGCCGCTGCGGCAATCTGCTGCAAATACAGCGCCTGACTTAGAGCCTGCTGGGCCTGCACAGCCTGCAGCCACTGAGCATAGGCTGCCGGGTCCATTTGCACAGCCCCGGTCGCCCCTGGAACTTGTGCAACCGCGGTTTGTGCTGGGAGGCCGGGTATGGCCATGGCCAGTGCTGGTGCTGTTGCCGCAGCCGTCGGACTGTCGGCTGGCTTCTCACCATCATCCTCTGCCATGTCAACTAGATGCTTCCAGCAGCTCAGAGTGCCATCTGCCGTCTCTGAGGTGCCATGGCATGGCGGTTCTATCTTGAGCCACCGAAGGTGTAGGAGCGCTTTCAGTTCTCAAACGCACACGGCTTGTATGAAGGAAGTGTCCATTCAATTGGCAAACACTTTTGGAAACAAGGACAAAGTGTTCTGCCTCCCTGTCCAGTATGCCAATGTCCACTAGCTTGGGAACTGCACAAAGTCCAGTGACCTCAACACAAATACATTCTCTGTCAGGGTCACATAACAGCTGACATTGTCCCTTGTGAGCACTTTCAGACTTGAAGCTAAACTTTTGAGCTTCAACATTAGTAATAAAAAGCATTAAACAAGCTTGCATGCTGCTAAAAAAAGACCATCCAACAAAGTTGATATAATTAGGTCTCATCTTGGTAGTCTTGCTAAATCGCAGAGTCGGCCACTTGTGCGAAATCACCGACTTGGACTCGTGTCTCATCTTACCTGCTTTCAAACACACTATCGTCTCGGGCACAAACCGCCATGATAACTGATGATGCCGTCATTGCAACCTCAATGGCGGCAAGGTGATCAGCATACCAACATCCAGGATCTTGAACAGATTCGATGCAAAGGCGCATCAGTAACTTGTGCGGTAGGAGCTCGTCCAAGTGCCTGGTCGCAAGCTCTCTCACAGTGAAAAGCCGGCTTTGCAATTGTTAGGACCCTGGCCAAAACCTTTGCCAAAATGGAATTTGCCTGACATCAAAGCAACACCCCTTGCAGCTCTGCTGCGTGGAACTAGCATGGTGCCGATTGGAAAGGCTCAAAGCGAATTGACTCAGTGCCAGGAGGTATAACTCAATCTGGAAAAAAAATAACATAAACATCTGACATTCTCTCTGAGGTGAGTGCAGTGGGCGAGATACCTGCAGTGCGCACACGTGCAGTTGAAGTGGGTTCCTTTCAATTCTTCAGATCAATTATCACGAGTGACTGAAGCTGTGTCAAAACCAGCTCTCACCGATCACTCACTCATCAGGCTTGTTGTGCTTATAATCTTCACGGGTGGTGCTTCGAGAAAAGCACGGGTGCTATGGTCCTTCTTTTGCAAGTGTGACTCCTTTAACACACAACATCGGGCAGTTCATCGTTCCCAAAGGCAGGAAGCGTCGGCATGCGGCAAGACCATGTCGGAATATTGGACAAAATATACAGCTGGAGGAACCTCTTCAGGGTGGTCGGGGGAGGCCGACCCACACCGATTTTGGCCGATCCTTATCTAGAATCAGTGGAGGTGGCACCAAATCAGTACAGAAACAACAAACCTTCCATAGCAAGAACTTGTGAACCACTTTAGAGTATCTGATAGCACCCGCCAAGTCATCGGAAAAGGGTTTTGTTTGCCTTTGCTTGAAGTGACGCGCTTGCTTTCTCAGTGCAAGAATAGACTTGAAATGTAACCTTCAGTGCTTTGAGGACTGTAGAATTCACAGTGCTGGACAAGCTTGGGAGATCTAGCTGTAGAAGTATATATATATAATTCTATCTAAGCTTTAAGGGTTGAGCCAACTATAGCGCTAGCTGCACTCTGTGACCTTGATATTGATGCCTTATTCTGTGCCAACACCACTAATCCACGAGCCCACCAAGGACCGCTCAAGTTTGAAGATCGCTTCCCGTTTCTTCGAGAGAGGTAAGTGTGGCTTATCCTACGCCACATTCGTTTCAGCCCACAAGATGCAGTTCCTGAATCAAGCGCCACCTGTGTACATATTTTGATATATGTTGTACCTTCGGCTTTCCCAAAACAGGCTTTCCGAACTTGAACCTTCATGCGAGAGTCACCGATGTGAAATGCCGCACAGCCCGTAAGTGCTGTTGGGAAATTCATCATCCTTTTCAATTATGCGGTCCTTGGAGCCTTGAAGCTTTAAGTCCTTTGGACTCGGAAAACTCTCCCAAAAGCGGTACAAAGTCTTCCTTCTGTCTTCAATGAGCCAAATTGAAGAAGAAGCAGCTTTCTTTCGATCCCACAGAAGTTCGACTCAAGTTTGGGGTCAAAAAGAAAGCACCTTTTGTTCCAAGAGATCTCACCTCGTACGCATTTGAGCAAAACTCTCTGGGCCTCCGCAGCGCAGCGCACCTCCTTTGCCTTGGCGCAACTGTATTGCTTTCAGCGCGAATGCAGGCCGAAGCCATTTCTGCGCCTTTGCCAATGACATTCACAGGGATCTTGGCACTTAACCTGAAAGAATCCAAACTATCCAAACCCTTGTTGGTACTTAAGCTTGAAAGCCAAAACCTTGAGGCATGTACTGTAAGAAAGCTGCAGGTAGCTTCATAAGGCCCAAGACCTGTCCAGCACCACTGAACACTGTACCGCACTGACAATGGGCCTTGTGTCTCAGGCAGCCTCTTTCTGTAGAGCCACATGTCTGGTAGGCCGCGCTCTGCAAATGCAAAATGTGCAGGGTTGTGTACAATAGCCCAGCCACTTGTGCTCGCAAAAGGTCCTATTACTCGCTCACAGATTTGACATGAGCTTCACCCCCAAAGCAAAAACTAATGCACAAGTTGTGCTAAGATTGGCGTTTCTTTGGATAACTTGCAACATAGTCTTCCATCAACTCTGATGATCACTGATGGTGTGAATGTCTCTTTCAACTGGTTATTGTGGCTCAAACATATTTGAGAAGAGTGGCTTCAAAGCTTTGAACCTGGGAAAACATGTGTGCTCCCTGTCTGAAGCTGGTTGGATGACAGCTCTCAACTTGAGGACGGCTTTTTCCGCTCATGGATGTCAACGGGCCATGTTCAAACCTAGTGAAACTGTTGAGATGAAGAGAAAACACAGAACACAAACCTCACTAACATCAATCCAAAAGAAGCAAACAACATACCCATTGCACAGGACACAACACTGGCCCTTCTCAGCGCTTGTGGTATGGCGTCTTCTTGCGGGCCTGGAAAGCTTCTGCATGAGTGAATGTGTTTGTGTGTGTGTGCTTCTAACTTGTTGAGCTGTCGGTAAAGCGTCTAGCAGTCTGGCTCATGCAAAGCAGCAGAAATTGCAGCAGCAGCAGCAGCAGCAACAACAACAACAACCAAAGCAGGTTTCAGCATGCGAGTCAAACAGATGTGGCAACACTAAACAGTGTGAACGTCTTCTTGCCTTTGGCTGACCCGTCTTCTTTGGCTCAACCATACGCCAGTCTCGAGTGAGGAATTTGGCTTTCTTCATCAGGGGCCTGAGTTGAAAAAGCAAAACTGGGACGAACGGAGTCGAAGCCAACTGCCAGCCTCCAGTTGAAATTGTATTCCTGCATTGCTCTTGCAAGTGCTAGTCGGACGGCACCTGAATTACTCACATTCAAAGCAGGTTGCAGCTGAACCACCTCGTATGGTCTTTATTGGTGCACACTGCCTTGCATCAAAAGTAGTTCCAGCTCTGAGATCCTCACCAGCTTGACCACTGATACCCCCTCCAAAGCTTTTCGCAATAATGTCAAACCTGGGGAAGCGACATGTCATATCCAAGGACAGAACAAGGTTCTTGTGGCAGCTCCACCAGGTGGCTCAATCAGCTGGGTGCTGAACTTGTTCTTTTGAGACAGGGCTGCCAGCGGCTCACACGCCTAGTGAAGACTCTCAGACTGGACGACTTATTTTCTGATCAACCTCTGGACGCTTGCCCAACGGAGACAAGAGCTTGCCTTCAGCCACCAGATTGGATAGTGGCTGAAATACTGAATTGCCTCAAAAACAAAAACCACAAACCGCATGCTGCTTTGTACTTCCGCCAATCCTCCCACTGCTCGGCAAATCTACTAGGCGCACATCTCTGCCATTTACAATGAACTGGCCATTGCCTTTCACAATTCTCACGATGGCGCCTAAGGAGCATGAAACAATAGGATAAAGAAGCGGAAACAGCCTACGAAATGCTACGAGTCTGCGACTAGCAGCTAGCATTGGGAGAGCTTGGTCACTGACAAGCTGTCTTTCTCTTGCCAACTCCTTGCCAATACCTCAGAACGGTTTTGAATGTCGGTCGCATTGAGCGCAACATGATTGAGATGCTTACTGCACTTTCTCATCCTCGATGTCCATGTACCAATTGCCATCTGGTGCTCGGCCATCTCCCCATTTTGCTCCAGGCGGAGGTGGTTCCAAGGGTGGGTAGTAAAGGTTTGGATCCAGCGGAAACTCGAGTCCTGACAAGTACCAAGGCATCCATTTCATGATTCCCGTTTTCTTTCCTGACATCTTTGTGCAGAAACTTGCAATCAAAGGAGGAACAACATTGCAAAAGTATCCTTCCGCAACTGGCACTTTCTTGTAGACCGGCCCAGTGTAAGGAAAAAACCTGAACAACCAAGTCAGTGATGCCCCAGCAAGCACATTCCAAGTGCCTCATGCTCCTTTTCTCACTTTCGGGAAAGATTTACACTTAAAAAACGAACAACCAAAATGACGACCAAAATGACGGATGTGCTTACGGAAACCATTGACGACTCATCCCTTCTGTTAAGGCTCCCACTTCTTCCCACTGGGTTCTCGCTGCGCATCGGCAGGAACATCCTTGTCGATGTCGATCCCTAAGTGCCAAAAAAAAGATGCGCATAAGTCACCAAATTGTGATCTTTGCTCCCTGGGGCTGCAAGCGTTCTTCGAAAGGATTCACATAGTTCCTCTCTCCTGTTTGTGGATCAATTTTGCCTTGGAAAGGGGCACACCGATTGAAGCTAGAGCTAGAGCTAGAGCATTAAGCTTCGGGAATCAGTGTTCGGCCCATTTCAATCGGTTCGGCTTTGCGTGAGATTCTGACCTGTCGACAAGGCCAAACGCTGCAACACCAGCCTTTTGCAGGTCCAACGCCTTTTTGGCTCTGCGAGGGCGAAAGAGACCGAAGAGCGCAACTCCAGCAGCAATGCTGGTCATAGGCAATGTGAACTGGGTTCCTGCAAAACTGTTGGACTCTCGCTCATCTGGGTGCATCTAACTGATTGAAAGATGGGTTCCCATTGATTTTAGAAGCAAGAGAACACAAGCCGAATCACGCGGGCCGCCTTTGGCTTGGCCATTCAATCTGCTTGCACGGAGAGCAGTTTCGGCAGGTTCAAAACCTCACCACATGACAAACAGCGAAAAAGGACACGGCCCTGAAAGACCTAGCCTGTTATTCCCAACACATTCCGGCCTGCAGATGGAAGGACAAAGGCTGGCACAAAAGCGGCAGCGCCTCCAATTGATCAAGCACAAGTCAGTAGGTTTTCGCCCAACAATAGCGCGTGCCAAGTGCAGAACCAGAAAGGCAAGCCACAAATATAAGGTTGCGCCTCGCATGTTTGTAAAGCAATCAACATATCGGTGAGTCTTGGGCAATTCAGGAGCAATTGTCACAAAACATGCCAGGAATGCATCTCTCCAACACCCTTGATCCAAGGGTGGGAGTCTGAAAAATCTTGATCCAAATCTGACATTGTTTGACTCACCGCAATGCAACATCCGTTTGACTCAGAGAGTTCCTGTCTATGTTGACACGTCCAACCAAACATCTGGCCGTTCAAGCTCCGGCCAATCAAATTCACTTATCGGCCAACACTAGCACAGCAGATTGCACATCATGTGCACAACTCAAATGTACAGCAACAACCGTTCGCAAAAATGTGTTTGGCCTAATTTCCATTCCTAGGATCAGTTAAAACCCTAGGAGATGGAGCAAGCGCTTAACGAAAGTGCCGTGGCAAAGCAGGTTTGCTTTGCTGAGCAGAAACATGATGAGACGGCTAGGTCATAGACATGAGTTTAGAAAGCCACAGGTAAATTCCTGCGAGCACCCCAACCACATTCACTCAAAAACCCATGCAGAATCAAGTTTGCTGGGCATTGCACGCAGATTGATTCAACGCACCTGGTTTCCAGGTTCAAGCCAAAGTCAACAAAAATCAACCAAAACGCACCAAAAACCAGAAAACAATATAATGTACATTATATTCACTGTTTGTGGGGAAGTAGCGCTGGCTTCTTCACTCACATGTAGAGCCTCTATGCTGCTGTGATGTTTTAAATATAGCGAAAGTTTTTCAATCCAAAAAAGGCTGCAAGTAAAATGACTGCACAAGTGTAATGTTCATGATGCTACTTCTCTGCTCTAGCCTACCCTGAAAATGTTTCACACTCCTTCTTGGAAGTGTGAGCGATCGAACTGCTATTTTGGGCTCACTCTACCACCATAGCTCACTATACGATCATCGTCCTCATGTTGCATTGTCCACTCTCTCAAAAACGGGGTTCTTGGAGTCTTCTGATGGTATTCTATCTGAAGGATCTCGTCTTTCTTCTGCTAGTCCAAGCAACCTTTCATATTGGGTTTTCTCATGTTCAACTAGATGTGCTAGTTCTTCTTGTCGTCTTCCTAGAAGTCTCCGATGTCCTTCTGACAGTTGCTCAACCTTTCTCTCAAGTCGACCACACATCTGTATCATCTGTATTGTCCCCTTTCATATTCCGCCTTGTTCAACAGTTCTCTATTTCCTGCTTTGAATCTTCTGTTCAAAGGTCCTTCTGTGCAAACTGCTCCTTGATTGGCTGCTTGTATCATCACACGATGACCATGATATTGTTGCTCCTTCCGGCAAAGTAGTTTCCTGCGTTTAGCTCTCCCAGCATATCATAGCCAACAATAGCATCAGTGTCTGGTGCTTCTCGTTCTACAAAGCCTCCATTGAGAATCAATCCATTGTGAATTCTCCTGGCAAAATCTCTGAGTCTCTGAGTAGATCTACCTGATGTGCACATGCTCTCAAGCTCAAGATTTTGGACTCTGCGTCATCTGTCCTGAAACGAATCTTTGTCATCGCAAATGCATAGAGGTTCTCAATACACCAAGAGAGATTGCCGCCATGTGTGCAGAGAATGCACAGGTCAGCTTGTGCTACTTGTAAATGAGTCTCCGGCCAGGTAAAAAAGGCAAACCACACCAAACAACCAACCAAACACCCCAAAACAAACGAACAAAACCGCAAGTCCGGCAAGGAGACTCAGGCAAGTCATGCGGGTGAGACGAAAAGTGAGACTAAGGTGAAACATAAGTGGGGCAGTGAATTATTGCAAAAAAGCCGCTGAGTGAGCAGTTGCGAATGTAGTGCTGTCTTGTTGCAGGCATCGGCGGCTGCACTTGGTTCAGTGGCCTGCTTTCACAGGCCATTGCGCGAGGCACGCATGTAAGTGTATATCTTTGCTCACATAAGCATTTCAAATCAGGAGGCATCGGCCCAAATCCACAGGCAAGCTGTTCTTAGCAGCATTAAAAACAGCGGGCAAGCGTGAAATTGCTCTTGAGTACGGTCCATGGAAGACCACTGTGGTCAGGAAGCCCTAGTGTGCCAAACGAAAGGGCAATTCTTTGCCAGCAGTGTGACCTTTCACGAGTGGTATGTTGCACTGTCTATCCTTTATGGTTGGCTGTCAACAAGGCACTGCGAAAGCGCGATGCATGTATAGCCTTTTGTAACCTCCCTCCACTGGAGGGAGGGAGGTGGGGCCACCTTGAAGTGGTGCACTCCAAAACAGCACAGCCAAGTATGGTAGCACACCGTGTCACGGGATCGAACAGTCAAGAGGCCCTCATGTTCATGCAGCAGATATTCACAAGTTGCTGTCTTTGAGTCGTGCATTGCCCCGGTGAAACTTCGCCTAATGCACTGTACACTTTGTACACGGCCAGCAGAGCTTACGCCCACACCCAGGACAAGGACAGAGGTCCTCGCCTGGTATCCGGCCGAATCGGTGTGCAATTGTGTGGCTCTCAACTTCTTCTCGTACGCATTCAAAGGTTGCCTTGGAGTAGCTACCGGCTTACAAGCGAAAGGGGCAGTTGGGTTCAGTGCTAGTGCTCAGAAAAGCGGTTTCCCGTCATATTCAGTGGAGTCTTCTCCGTCTGGAGGGAGGAGGTTGATCCACTTCGGAATTGCAAAGCGAGAGCACAAGGCGAAGGAATTGTTTTCTGCGTACGGCCCTCTCCAGGTTGTTGGTTTGCCCGTTGGTCACAGTCGAAGAAGGCCCTGTGAGCAATATAGCGAGGTGTAGGCGGGATATTCACTTCCATGAGTGCGTTGCAGAACATGAACGCTTTGCGAATGTGTCGCAATCTGGTTGGCAGCCAGATGTGCTGAAGGTTCACGCAATGTGAAGAGGTGGATCCCCAAATCGTCGATCGACGTGCTGGATAGGTCCGCAAACGCAAGTCGCTTGCAATTTTCATAAACTAGTGGCCCTAGGAAATTGACATCTGACGGGAGTTTGAGGTACTCAAGTCCCGATGAGCTGAAACTTCCTTCCGGTATTCCTCGAGTTGACGGCGACTCTGGTGGAGGGTTTGGTCCATTGGAGGTTTGGGCAAGCTCAAGGGCCCGCAAGCAGAGCTGATGCCAAGGGCCTTCGAAAAATGCACTGCATTACGTCACCTCGATTTGGGACGGCCTGATGGTGACTCGTCGGGCACAAGTAGATGCTTACCGGAATGCTGCTTCCTTGAGGCTGGGATCGTGTCATTGTCCCTGCCTCCTGACTTTACATGGATTGGACCGGCGGCCTGTGAACGATGTCTGCAATTGCAGCAAGTTGATCTCTCAACTACAGGGGTTACTGAGATAATGGGTTCTGCCTTTGCACACTGTAAACACTTGCAGCACCTAAGGCTTCCGCATAAACTTCGCAGAATTGAGTTTTTTTCCCACGAGTGCGGACGCCATGTGGGCGGTGTGCCCAGGTCATCATAGAAGGATAGGAAACACAGCATATTGATGGGTAAAGAAACACGAGGCAGCCACCAAAAAAGCGGCAAACAAACCACACAAGCCCCCAAAAGGCCCAAAACCACAACCAAACAATCCCATCAATATTAATAGTGTTTCCTCTGTACGAGTGTGAAACAGGTGAAAAGATGAACTACCAAAGAGAAAGAGGGGCCTGAATTCGCTACGAAGGGCAAAATGCATCTGTTAGCATCCTACGAAGCGCCATGAGCAAGGTCGGCAGTGACAATGACACATGCCCAATGAGTCAGTAGTTGCAAGGCATGGCAAGCCGTGGGAAATTCCCTCTCCGTGGCACAAAATATCCAATAGAATGCGCCTACGAAGAGCGGAGGTTAGTCTCGAGTGAGGCGGAAAGCGTTGCAACGAAGCGAAACTGCAGACGGCGTGCTGATCTCCCTCCCGCAAGGGAGGCACAACACATCCCAATGGCTCCCACGCATTGGCCAAAGGGGTGACTAATCCTTGAGATAGTGAGCATAGAGGACACTATCCTACCACGCGCAAGGCCCGTGTGAGACAGGTGAAACGTGGACCTACCCTAGCATGGTGCTTGTGCCATCTTTGTACAATTTTTTTCCACGAGTACGGACGCCGTGTGGGCGGTGTGCCCAGGTCATCGTTGAAAGGAAAGGAAACACAACATGATGATGGGGAATAAAACACCAGAAAACACCCAAAAACGAACAAAACAAAGCAACCAACCAAAACGCAAAACAACAACACCAAAGGCCAGAGGCCGCTTCCCCATCATAGCTGACAGTGTTTCCTCTGTACGGAGGTGAGACAAGTGAGAAAGTTGGCTGTATACTATCTAAGGGCCTGAATTCGCTGCGAAGTCTGCCAAGTGCGTCTGTGCGCGAGCGAAGAGCAAGCGAAGCCAATCAATGAGGCTTCGTTCAATCATCAAAACGTGACCACATGGCCACTGCGTCGAGTGGCAAACATGGTATAGCAGCTTTTAGCAAGGGGCTCATCATGACAGTCAGCAGTACTGATTCTTGCCAAAGGAAGTCAGTTGTTGCAATGCCAGGCTAGCCAAGGAAAAATCCCTTTTCGCAGTACAACCCATACAACTGATTGCACAAACGAAGTGAGAGGCAGATCAAGAGTCTGGCGGTGGAGGCAAAGCAAACGGAAAGGCCTGTTGACGAAGGCGCTGCGTTCCCTCCCCCAAGGGAGGTCATCATTGCACCCCTTGGCTCTCAAACATGTGCCAAAGAGGGGTGAATCATCCTTCCATGAACTGGTGCCATCGAAGAGACACCATCCTGTTACATGCAAGGCCCCTGTGAGACAGGTGAAACTGTAGACCTATCTTAGCATGGTTCTTGTGCCATCTTTGTACAAGATTGGCCATGGTCTGGCAGCCGGAGAGAGTAACTATGTGCCATCTTTGTACAAGACTGGCTGTGGTTTGGCTGCCGCAGACGAGCAACTAAGGTTCTCCCTGGGCGCCTTCCATCAACCGCGCTGCTACCACCCGCCGACCAGGGACAAGGAACTGAGGCTCTCATCCCGGTAGGCTCACAAAATTGCAGGCGAAGAAGGATAGATGAAGATCACTTGCTCGTCGAGGGCCGACTTTCGTTCAGGCCACTGGGGAAGGACTTTTCTTTGTTGATATAGCGTGGCTATGCAGCTATGAGCCCGAGCGCA